GATGACCTGAAGGGTAACATTTTCCAATAATATTATTGGTTAAGTCTGTGTGGTGTCTGAATAACAGCGCAAATAAATTTTTTTTCGAAAAAAAATTCATTTTTTTGAAAATTTTTGCCCGTTTGACCTTGAAATAAAGGTCAAAGGTCAAATCCAAGGGCATATTTGAAATCTACACATATGACTTTTGGAAAGCCGTCTGTAGAAATTTTTCCCATAATTCCTTCCGTAGGGTAGATAATTAGCATTTAATTTTGCCATTTTTGGACAAGGGTGCATTGCAATGAGTGCCACACCTAGACCCCAATACCGACAAAGCCCAAATTTTACGTGGAACGAGTTGAGATTATAGGTGACCTAAATCCAAGAGATGAGTATGGGGGCCCTTACCGTCTAGGAGGAGAAGCGGTAACGGTAACATGCCGGCGGAGCCGGCGGAGCCGCAGGAGCCGGCGGAACGGACCGGACGGGACTAAAACCATGTGTACCGCCAGCGCTAACGCTGGTGGTACAATTAGGACGTACATACAGTACGACTTATTCTGCGACCATGAAATGTAATACCTGTGTATCCACCAACGGTTTAACAAACCGGATTAATAATGTTCGAGCATTTGATTGATGCCTTGTAAGCTGTATTAAAAATAGTGAGCAAGCATACCGATTAAGAAATTCTGAAAGATGCGGAGTTGAAGATACGGAGGTATTTGTTACAGCACAGCTTTCATTTCGAGTTATACACAATATGATACTGCAAAGCACTTTAAGTGTGAATTGTTAACATGATTTAACACAGCTAAAACTTACTGGCATTTTTCTCTTACCTGAGAACTAAAAGAAACTACATATTTCATTCGCACAGGTGCCATTGCTTCCGCTTTTCCAGTTTCGCGGCAATTTTCATAATCTCGTTCCTACGATTTAAAAATTGTGCATATTTTCATGCAAGAGCATATATTTCTTTACGTTTAGTTCTGTTAATTTTGGTGGAATTATAATTGGACAATCACGCTTGCATTAAATTTCAAATTTGCGTAGAATTATGGAGCAAGTAGCATCAAGAGTAAAATAGTTGCCCACGTGACAACGGTGACAGCTGGTGAACTTCTTAGGCCAAAAGCATATGTATAGATCTATGTCTCTCCGTTTCAAAACCAGGGATCCATAGATCGAGAGTCAATTTCAGCTCTGTGTTATCTCAGTTGACATATATATCTCTAACGTTGTCGGGAAATGTACCAGGTGTTCACAGCTGATCACAGACTGGATTTTAAATGCTTTCGCTTTCAAAGACCTTTTCCAGTGTTTACTCTCTCTCGCTGTATTGCGTCGTATTGCGCATTTCAGCTCCACCGGCTGTTCATGGCTGTTTTCACGTGAACCAGGCACGCACGACAATGTTTCTGTCAGTTTTGCCACTTTCGGTTTATTTTATATGGACCACTGTGCTTGGTTTGTTATGCTGGCGGTTTGTAAAATGGTGCGTGGCTTTCAACTCGTTTTGCAAGGCAATAAGCCACTTTCCTGGGCCTAAAAAGCATTGGCTGTTTGGCACTGTTCATGAGGTACAGTACATGTACATGTGCACTCCTAAAACATGTACACATGTACTCAGTATAATATAAGGGATAAGATTGCATGCATGAATAGCTAGGATATATCGGTACATATACAGTATGACTTCTTATGCTTTAAAATAGATGTTGACACTGCAAGGACAAGGGTCATTTTTCAATCATAAATCTTTTCTTTTTGGGGTCATTAGCACGAAAATTCATGCGTTAGCACTCCTATTAACGGTTCTGATATGTACATGTACATGTACTGTCTGTGCTAATGCATGAAAGCAAAGGCCTCAAAAAGTGGGAAATGAGGACCAGTTGCCTAACCAGCCTCAGTGCGGCAGCTCTCAAATTTTTATTTTACATCTCATCTGTATCTGTATCTGTCCATGTACGTCTAGAGACACCAATACTGGTATGAAGTAGACGGGTAGAAGAGAGCGCATGAGAAACTTAGTCAAATAGTAGTCCTGATCTAAAGCTTTCAACAGTTTCATTGTATACTTGTTGGTCACTGAGTCCATTCCAATCGGAAACTGTTCTGGCGAAGAATCGCACATTAATGTGAAGCCAACCAGTTTTCCCATCAACAGAGCTGTCACTTTGCTAATATCCAACTGTCTATCTGCCAGTTTGACTGGTGTAAAATCATACACCCACTAAGCAGACGGAAACCAGGTCAAATCTACTCGGGTTACTACTCGAGGTTTTCAAGCGCCAGTAACCTACTGCGCGTGAGCGGAATTTTTTTAAAGACTGGGTCTTCCAGTTGATTTTCACTATGTATCCATGACAATATAAACATGCATTTTGAATGAAAAACGGTTGAAAATCCAATTCAGTGACTTCATTTTCATCGATGCAGTTAATTGTGTCAGAAACGTAAAGAGCGGGTGACTTGCCTTGCGTTCCTCGTTCCAGCCGAGTCCAGACAGCATGTGGACCACAACTTCCACTCATGCACAGTAGACTACTGGCAATTGACCTGAGTAGATTTGACCTGGTTTTCAGTAGCAAAAATTATACTTATGAGTTATGACCAAGATACATTAACTGAAGCCCAATGCTAGTTCCTTATTTCAAATGTCCATGTTACCTGTTGTACATAATAAAGGTTTGTTGGTGGTAATGCTGTAATATATATATTGCACCAAAATTGACAAAATGACCCATTTGTCTGTACAGTTGATGGCTTTGCTGCCTTGCTATATATGCCTGCTTTGTTATCTAATTTTCTATTCAACACTTATTTTATTTTTTTAAATAGCATCCTGGAAGCAATCCAGAGGGAGTTATGTACCTTTCATCCCTGACAGAAAAATATAAAAAAGCTTTTTGTCAGTGGTTTGGTCCTTTTCAAGCCAGACTTGCTGTTGTCCACCCAGACACAGTAAAGGGTATCTTACAAACAGCAGAGCCAAAGCCAGGGTTTGGTGGTTACAATTTACTTTTGGACTGGCTTGGTAAGTAAAAAAAAAACTTGTATTAAAGGAAATACAAGTGTGTAAATCACCTAATGGTGATGAATTTTTAAAGTAAATAATCTTGGACAACATTATTAGATCGTGTCAACAACTATGTATGATTCCCCAGTTTGTATCTCCCTTAAAATGAAAGCAAAAATGTTTTCCAGGTACGCTTCTTTAGTACCTCTCGGGGAAACAGACCACTGCAGCTTGGGGTACTGAAGCCTCTCCTGCATTTTTGTCTGTGTACCCTCTGACAGAGCAAGGCTAGAGGGTACTGATCACATTAAGAGATATTATGTTGAGGTGTTTCCTCAGTGTTATTTTTTTAGATCAAGACTTATTTGGAATTGATTTGAAATAATGCTTGAGAGTATTGCCTTTTGTTCAGGTTGTGGTTTGCTGTTAAGCAGTGGTGAAAAATGGAAAAGAAGTCGGCGTCTGCTGACCCATGGCTTTCATTTTGACGTACTCCAAAACTACGTCAAGAAGTACCATGAGACTGCTGAAAAATTAATGGTGAGAACATAACATTGATTAATAGAAAAACTAATATCTACTCACAAATAAAAAAGAAATGGCATACATAGACTAATTCTCATTTTATTTTAACATTTGTACAATAATTATTTGGATATTCAAGTTCAAACTAAAAGTCTTTATGTACAACTAATGCATTTTACACTTTTAAAAATAGAGGAATTGCCCTTAATCTACCCAGTACAGAAATAAAAGGTATATGCTGCACGTTTTAAATTTTTTTTTTTTTTATGTACAGACACAGATATGTATCTGTACATATAGCCATCATCTGCGTCTGTCGTCGCCGTCGTCGCCGTCGTGCACTTTTACCGATAACACAATAAGTGGAACACCGTTTTTGCTTTTGGCTTGAAACTTACAGAACTGGTGAATATTCCTAATACGCAGGTAAAGTTCAAAAATCAGCATGATCGGGCCATTTTTAGGGAAGTTATGCTGTTTTTATGTACAGACACAGATGTGTCTGTACATATAGCCATCATCTGCGTCTGTCGTCGCTGTCGCCGTCGCCGTCGCCGTGCACTTTTACCGATAACACGATAAGTGGAAAACTGTTTTTTCTTTTGGCTTGAAACTTACAGAACTAATGAATATTCATAATACGCAGGTCAAGTTCGAAAATCAGCATGATCGGGTCACTTATAGGGAATTTATGCTGTTTTTTCACTTTTTTCAGCATAAATGAAGCACCGATAACACGATAAGTGGAAAACTGTTTTACTTTTTGGCTTGAAACTTACAGAACTGATGAATATTCATTATACGCAGGCCAAGTTCGAAAATCAGCGTGATTGGGTCATTTTTAATGAATTTAGGCTATTTTTTCTCTTTTTTCAGCATAAATGCAGCACTGATAACATGATAAGTGGAAAACCATTTTACTTTTTGGCTTGAAACTTACAGAACTGATAAATATTCATAATACGCAGGTCAAGTTCGAAAATCGGCATGATTGGGTCATTTTTTAGTGAATTTAGGCTATTTTTTCTCTTTTTTCAGCATATATA